AGCCATTTGGTATATTATGTTTTTTTTTGTTGGTTATTAAGCAAAATCACCCTTAATTCTACATAAAAATATCATGTATATTTGTGTACACATCGCTACAAACATATAAAACCAAAATGTAAGTTTAAAATTCATTTAAGTTATTTTATCAAAAATTATTGCCATTGGAGGTTTTTATTAAAAAATAAGGAGGCATAAAAGTCTTGGCCTTTGTTTTGTGGTGTACAACAAAGATGAAGATTTATTTTTTTTGGCTATAGATTCCCCAGCTTTAAAGAATATCTTCATCACAAATATTTGGACATACTCTTGTTCGATTAAGAACAAGCCTCGCCTAAATATGGATTAACATCTTTTTTTACCTTGGTAACAAGTTTATGAGATCCCTTCTTCAGTTTCATTATTTCTTTTTTTGTCTTTATTGGTATGATCACATTTTTTTGGTGTTTTGTTGTCTTGTCCGTTTAGTTTTGTTGTATAGTATAGAGAGTGAAAATGTATAATTCCCCTTGAACTATACAAAGTGACACCAGACAATATAAAGCCAAAGCACAATGACTGTGGGATTACCCAAGATATACTCTAAACCGTATACAAACATAGTCCAAGATTTTTTTCTTCTATCAGAGAGATATTGTTGAAATTAAAGAAACAGAGGAAGAAAGCTTTAACACATTATGCTTGTGCTTAAGTGTCTTTGTATTTGTTTCCACTCTCTACGTGAATCACATTTTGCATGCATTCAATTCTGTGAATCCAAGCCTTTAGGAGCAAGAAGGTTAGGATCAAACAGACCCATTGGCGGAACCTGAAATAGCCAAAGGAATTAATTAAAGACTTAATCAAGAGACTAAAAACATAAGAGATCATTGACAGAGTAATAACTTGATCATGAGAAGATAATCCAACTAATCTTACACTTTTGTAAGCTTTCTCATGTTCAATGTGTTAAGAAACCTGATCATGAATGAAGGGTGTTTCTTGTTTGGCCAATCCTAACCTTAGATTTGTAGACCCTAACAAAACTAGTCCCATGAGACTTATTGGATTAGTAATGTTGGTGATAGAGACATATACACCAAAGAGAGAAAGGTTTACGAGCTATAACATAAACAAGAACAGATCCTAATATTGTTTATTTACCATGAATTGATGATAACGAGATTTGATCCTCCTCGTTCAGGACAAAAGATTTCAAGTAATCCTGCGATTAAAAGCAAAATATTCAAGCATCAGAGAAGAACTGAGTTTATCTTTCAAGTAAAACAAGAAATAATAACATTTGAAGTCGCTGCAATTGTAGACTTATGGTTTAGCAGAATTGCAGCAAAGGTTTGGTTTAATGGAGCAAGT